CCATGTTGATTCAGATCTCATCGAATCCTTACGGTGGGGGAAGGTGGGGCGACCTCTTTCCATGCCTTCTGTGGTCGTGAGTCTTGCACCAGTAACATTTGATAACATCGATAACGTCTATCTCTACCCAGTCAGATCTTAAAGCCACAAGAGATTTTATTCCCCTGGATGACTTCTTATCCTCCTCCTCGTCCGTTCACGCAACCTACCCACTACCATACAGGGTCGCATCGCTTGTCCTTGGAAGACCTTTGTGGTGGGCCCTCGAACAATTAAATATTGTTGGTGAATCCGAGAATCCTGGGTCGTATGACTCTCGGTGGGCATTGTCCCAGGGCTCTTACGTGGTTCTCGATGTCCTCGAAGTATGATCGTAATCTTGGCTTCTTTCCACATATCCTATCCTTAATTCGGTGCCATCAGGTAGCTGCAGAAGCGATCATCAAGGCCCAACTTGGGACGGGGTCTCTATCCCTTTCCGAATCAACGCACAATTTATCCTCCTTTCGCACCAAATTCGCACCTATCATCTTACCAAGGGCCCCAGAGTCTTTAACGGATCTCGATATCCAAGTCCTCTTACGGTATTTAGAACGTGACAAGGGGGCCCTAGTCTCAGAGAAGGAGGTGATCTGCTCCATTCTAATACCATACCCCCCTGAAACTGATATTCCTTCCCAGGTCATAAAGTTCGCCGAGCCAAACTCCGTACTCACTGAAATAACGGACGTCGACCGAGGGGTAGCTGAGATGAAATTGACGAGATTACATCTTCAAGAGCAAGTTGATGAAATCCAACGAAAAATTGAAGAGTTCGGATTTGTTCCCCCATCACCCTTTTGCCACCTGACTCACCGGCTTGCTTCTTACCAGTCGCGTCACAAAAATCAAAGACCTCATACTCTCCAAGCGACAAGAAATGGCCAAGTCCTACCTACGTTCCAAGAAATTGCTGGAGGAGCTACTCGTGAATCGACTGAAGTCCTTGGAGACGATCCAAACTATCCTTCTGAAGCTGGACACTGCAGCAGGAGACATAGAGGCAAGTCATTTGATCCTGTTTAGTCCTCCACATAGTGGCTTAGACAACCTTCCAGATAATGCGCACGTACGAAACCTCGGCCTCTACGTTAAAGACCCTATTGGCTCACCCGACGTTGCAACGCGACTACGTTGACGCTACGCTGGCAAACATATCTGACGCCCTTGCAAATCATGCTGAGATCGAACAAGCTATTCAACTGGGTGGAAAAGATGCACAGCGGGCGGCCAACGTGGACTTCGACGACGACGAATTGGACGTCGAGCTTGCGGAGATGGTGCAAGCACAGCAAGCTGAAGGTGTGATACACGCGCCTCAATTGGAACGGTTGGAGGAAGACGAAGGGAGAGGTCATGTTAAGGCAGCATTGTCGCAGATCCAGGTTCCCTTGCACTCTCCTTTCCCTTCATCACAATCTGCACCCCCCATACGACATAGGGATGCACAGCTAGAATAGCCACCGCAAGACATTAATTGGGGATATAATGATGAAGAGATAAGAACCAAGATGTCAACGAGCTTGTGCTCGCGATGATATTCAATTTTCCCTACGATCTGTGGACTTCCAATGCAAACCGTCTGCTAGTATATCTACCTAGCCGATTATGACATACTGGCGAATTATCGAACAAAACCAAGTCCACAGTGGAGCAGGAAAGTTCAGGGAAAGATGGGGGACCAAGATTTATCATGAGTAAAACGTTCCATAAAGATTGACATTAAGCGGTGAGGCATTGGGGGTATAGGTACAATGATGGAAGGTGACGCGCGGAGCAGATGGGTACCACGAATCCAATGAACAGGAATATAGTGAGAAAGGGTGTCAGCCGCAGTGGCATAGTGATGCAAAGAAACCGCGCCTCGGTGGGTCTTGATTATCGAATTGTTCATGTCCTCCGATGTCCTCCCTCGCTCTTACGGCGGTGCTAACAGCCGGGGTCGCGGCTGAACCCCTTTGACCATACCCTGCTGCGAGAGATTCCTCCATGGCACCATCGCCAACCCGTGTGTAATCCTGGACAACACCAGTCGAATTGGCGTAAGGATGCGGGGTCTGAGCCTGTATCTGCACGGCGCCACGAGGGGCAGGTGTCGATGGGACTGGCACACCGACGTTCGCGGCTGCTGATGAAGGTGTAAATGATCCTCCGCCGGCAGCATTTACGCCAGGGATGAGAACATTGGGAACCTTGCGTTGCTTGGGAGGATCCCTCGCAATGACGGCTGGAGAAGGAGAGGGAAGGCCTGTGGTAGACAAGTGTTGCTGAGATGGACGATGTCGTTCGGCACGTGGTCGAGGAGCACCGTGTGCTTGAGCCAATAGGTTTGAGCCAGACTATTAACAAATGCTAACGTAAACGGGACTGAGGGCGTCGCATACTATAATAATACGACATACCGAACTCGGTTCCCAACCTTTCCCGCTGTGCAGAAGATGCCAATCGTAAACGTTATCCTCCACCTCACCGAGGTTCTTCAGGACTTTTGTAAACAATTCTTGGGGAAAAAAAAGGAAGGAAATTTGACCCAGGGCTCGCCGTCGCGAAAGACAATCCTCAGACCTCGAAGAAAATCATAATCAGGGGCTTCTTCGAAGCCAAGCCTCCGAACATAATTTAGGTAGATCCCAAATTCCTCTGATATCAATTCCCCATGAGTTAGACTAATTGTTGAGTGATAGCGTGAACTGGCCTGGGAATCCTTCGGAGAGCTCCTTGATAGGGGTGCTCTGTTTCTTTTCACCAATCTTCTCGTACTTCTGCTTGTTGGTAGCCGCCTTGAGACCCTGCCAGGGTAACCCACCGCGTAGGAAGTACATGAATACATGACCAAGGGCCTCAAGATCGTCGCGTCGCGATTGCTCTGCGACAAAAGAAACATATTGGGGGTGATCTTGCGGCCAACGTTGAGGACGTACCTCGACCCAGATGTGTATTGATACTCATGTAGCGTGCGGTGCCGCTCAAGCTCTTCCGCTCTCGATATGGAATGTGTTGTTTGGTCTTGGGATCCCGGTATTGCTTGGCCATGCCTACAGGTAAGGTCAAGACCAAAGCGGAAACAAATGGAAGGGTGCAAGTACCAAAATCAACAACGTGGATGATATCGGCGGCTTTGCTAGCGGGCCGTCCGATGAGGAAGTTGTCAGGCTTGATGTCACGATAGATGAGGTTTTTCTCGTGGATAGTTTGTACGCGAGACAACATTTGTTTCGCCGTCATGACCACAGTTTTGATTGAGAATTTTCGGCCACACATGTCGAACAAGTCCTCGAGGCTCGGACCAAGAAGGTCGATAACCAGGATGTTATGCAAGCCTTCCTGACCAAAATGGTATATTTGCGGAATGCCCACTACGCGAGTGTTAGTGGAAGAATGATTGAGGATTACAGCTGCGAACGCACTAACCACAACCAGAGAGAATACGGTATGAGCGATATTCATCCCGTAGTTGAGGTGCGTCTGATTTTCTAGGTTCCTAAACAAGGGCACGTTTCAGGGCACGGGACGAGGGAAGTGAGAAGATGACGAACAAATTTGATAGCCACGGTCTGCGAATTGAGCAGGTTGGTTCCTAGTTTGGGGAATCATTGGCGAGAACCTTCTCCAAAACGAATAAGGAAGGGCCGTACCCTCGAATATAACACCGAATGATCCTTCACCAATTTTCTTGCCTACACGATAGTGCACACCTACGACGCTGGAGCCTGAGCCGCCCACGCCCGAAGACCCTGTCAATTGTGTAGACGGCATAGATGATGCAATGATATGTGTTGTGGTCATCCCCAGGATGCTTTCCCGCTTTTTGACCACGCCAGGGGACTGCGTCGGCTCTTTCCGCGCCACTCAAACACTGATGCGTAGACTGCTACAGCGGGCCACGGATGCGGGAAATGGCCGTCAGGCTGTAAAGTCTCAGAATATAAAATGAATGAAGAAATCTAGGCTCGCGCGTACGCATCTAGATGTCCAGTACTCATGGGAATAATAAATTATCGGAAAGCATTTTTGGCTGAGTACTAGATCAGGCCCGCGCCTGCCTGGGGTATTGGCATTGGGTATTGGAGCGCCCCAGCAGCCCGACCAATGCTATGCCAGTCCGGGACATGAATGCCTCCTTCGAAATTGCACTGCATCTCGACCATCATGCGCTGCACATTGCCACTCAAATCATTGTCTCAACCCTTTTGAGCGAGTTGTGGGAGTCAGGAACTTCACGACCATCATGACCGGATCTGGCAGGGACAGTCAATGAATCTGAATCATCAGGTGAAGTGTCAGAGGTTGTGGCTCCGATTTTAAGAACTAACCATTGCGGATTCTTCCCTGTCGTACCGTGTATCATGACATCGCTATAACCTACCTATGGTCGGCGACCGAAATATCGGAGGAATCAGTTAGGCTGATGCCCCCCCAGATGCCGGATAGGACATGATCCAACAACATTTTGAGTATTTTTGGGGTTTTTAACCCAGGTTATTGAGGTAGATCAAACTCCGTCACCATATTGCATGGGCATTGATCCTCGATGTACGCTATGTTTCCTTTTCTTTGTTCCCCTGAGTGTGCTTTGATATTTCCCATGATCACAAAACACATTTCTCTCATGTTCACAAGCCAAAGTGAGCTAGGCTAATCATAAATTTTGTCATTGTACATTATGATGGAAAATGGTCCACACAAAATAAGTGTGTTATGCTTTGCATTCTAGTTGGATGGCTAACGAGGCAGTATGGCAGCAGCGGGGCAAGAATGCACCCCAGGGGAGTATAATAGTTTAGGTTTATGGAAGTCGACCTCGTATTGTCTATCCCACAGTGGCGAACAATCACTCGCACTGGGGGTTTGGCGCGGGTCACGTCCCCCTTGAACCACTCAACTGAAAATGTTTGGTTTATTGCTCTGAACGTTCCTCCACGGGTAAGGTCCTGAATCTGGTTTACGCTGCCCGCCAGGGCGCACTAGTGGGGTAGTGGTAACCTTGGTCGTTGCCACATAGCTGAGTTCGACTAGCCTCGTGTTCGATTCACGACTAGTGCATCTATTTTTCCAAGCAGATCTTTTTATCGACAGACGGAGCCATTCCCCGGTCCTTGTGACCTTGCTGCACCCCGCAGCTTCAACCAAGCTTTGTCCACCCCCTTGATGCACCCCCTCGATCGGGATCAGTGGTAAAGAGAGTATTCGGACTGTGCCGCGTCATTGAAGTGAGACGGCGAGGCAGATGGCGAACACCAGCACAAATCCTGTCAAGCACCCGTGCTACAATCCAACTCCTACCCAACTTGTAAGCATCCGATGTTCGGCAGTATCTCAATACTAATCCTTCCCCCAAAGAGACGTCTCGTGCTGGAGTACCTCTGCCACCAGTGCTATGTAAATACCGCCCAAGCATTTTCACAAGACTCTAAACGAATCTCGTACGATGATGAATCATCAAGCAGTGGATTGGAAACAGGCTATGGACGTCGACCAATCGATCGTGACTTGCTTACTGACGCCCCGCCGATTCGTGCGGACCAAGCCACGGTTGATGCACTCTCCACACCAATTGGCATTCCTCAAGAGCGACCCACTCCGTATTTCTACAGCGATGCTCGGGAAAAATCGAACCTCGATGACTACGCCTCGTCAGTGCCGGCTGCATCATCTCTGAAGGATGCTGATGGTGACGACGTCATGAGTCCGCCGCCGGATGAACATTCCTTAGCCGATCATGTTGGGCTCATTACTCAACACAAATCTATGGTTGTTGCAGTGGAGCAGACCATTCTTCCCAGCGACGCAGCAACAATTTCCCTCCCAAGACTTCCAGAATGTATAAATGTGGATGTGACATGCAAAGACGTTAAGGAATCGACCCAAGAACGCGCCGAACCCTGCCAAGATGAAGCTATGTCGGATATTGTGGACCGTTCATTGCGAAATGAAACGATTCCTGCGGACGACGCAGAACCACGAGATGATGTACTTTATCACGTTGAATTACGAAAGAGTATGTTTTCACCCCACCCTATCCCACGAGTAAACTTGACCTTTCTCCTCGAAAGCCATTCGAGAACATATATTATGGGGCCGCATCGCAAAAGCAACAGACATCCTGAATGAACATTATCCAACGGTTCTTAACGAGCAAGCCCCGTCTTTAACCACACCACTCAAATCCACGTCGCCTGATTTCATCTCTTCCCCTTCGAGCACGTCGTCGGCTCTGCCTCGCCCACAATCTACCTCTTCTCCTTTCGTATTTCCATTTCCCTCGCGTCATCGCATCTCGCCCTCAATCTCCGCATTCAGACGTTCGTAGAAGCCGTTCGCACAAGACCTCTAACATCTCCACCCCAGGGATCCTCCAGTCTCTCGCCCCACCAGGTTGTTTACAGTCCGTTTCCGTCGTCTCTATCACCCTCATCGCGACCAGTCCACAGTCAGGCTGTCGTGCTTCGTCTGGGACGGGATCTTGCCCACAGCGCTCAGTCGCTCCCTAATCCCAACGATCGCGCGTTGTATCTCAAAGAATTGGACAATGTTTGGGCTCTCATGGCATATTGTGAACCAGAAGGGGGAAGTCCCGCACACATCTTGAAATATCTCCAGTACGATCGGCGCGTGGCACTTGCTGATCAAATAAATAGCGCGATCTTAGGTTCGTCCGTTTTGTCATACCTTGGTAACTGTGATTTATGCATTGCACTCTTCAGTACGGTCCGGTTATAATCCTCGTTCCTCTATTGAACACTATGTTCGATCTACTGGTGCCCTTTGGAATCAGATCCACGAGAATGACATCCGAATACCCGCGGACGCAGATAAATATCCACCAGGCGTGGTCCCGCCTCCCTCTCGCCCTCCCACCCTAAAATTTCCGGCGTCGTATTCGGTGAGATTGCAGATTTGAGACCTTCAGATGATATAATTCCTTAATCTTTGCGGAATCTAGAATCAAGACACTGTTATTGGGCCAGCCTTTGATTTCGCAAGGTTTTTGACAGACCGATGATTTTCGTCCATATGTTCCAGGAGAGGCCTGTGATTCTCTATGTGCTTCATCATGGACTACCCTCTGTTTTTCATTTGTACGTTGATGTGCCGCCGACCGGAATCTTCCGACTGAGAGAAATTACTTACGTAAGACATTCGGGATGCTCTCCGTCTTCACATCTCGAAATGTGTTGCTGCCGGGCAAAGATGAGCCTCTGCCAGCTACTATTGAAGTAGACAATAGTACTGGGAAAATAGTATCTGTGCGATCGACCTATTCGTCTCGTTCCGAATATCCTTCAATCGCAGACGATCACTGGGTGGACGTTGGCGAACACTGCATCTTACCTGGGCTTATCGAGTGAGACTGGCATTCCTATGCAGTAATCTGACGAACACTTGATGTGTTATGTCTTCAGTGCCCATGTACACTTAAACGAACCTGGACGAACAGAATGGGAGGGTTTCAGCACGGGAACGCGTGCAGCATTGTCTGGTGGGGTAACGAGTGTCATCGATATGCCTCTAAATTCGATACCTCCCACGACGACTCTTGAAAATCTTGAAATAAAGCGTGCGGCCGCTACGGGACACTGTTATACTCATGTCGGGTTCTGGGGCGGTATAATTCCTGGGAATGAGGTTGGTACACATTGTGTTGAAAAATTGACGATTTCACGTACTCCGCCTTCCGCAGAAACACTTAAACCCCCTGTTGCGAGCTGGCGTCAAGGGATTTAAATGTTTCTTGATTGAGAGTGGTGTGGAGGTTTGGACCAGCCAATAGATGATCGAGAAGCTGTCAATCACCCCTACGTATCATCTAGGAATTTCCTTGCGTGGATGAGGAAGACGTTGTGAAGGCCATCCGAGAAATCGATTCGAAGACAGTACTCTTATTTCACGCTGAATTTGAAGATAACCCTACCGCCCCATCTCAAAGTGATTCGATTTTGGACCGCAGTCTCTACTCGACATTTTTAAACTCGCGGCCCCAGAGTCTCGAGGTTTCCGCTGTATCTCTTATCATTTCACTTCTGGAACGATTCCCTTCTTCGAGAGCCCATGTGGTCCATCTCTCGGCCGCCGACGCGCTTTCTGAGATCCGCACAGCCAAATCCAAAGGTCTCCATCTTACTGTAGAGACATGCTTCCACTATTTGTGCCTTGACTCGGCCTCAATCCCTAACGGCCACCCCGAGTTCAAATGCTGCCCACCAATACGTGATCGTTCGAATTGCGACAAATTATGGGGGGCTCTCCTCGATGGTACGATTGATTGCGTTGTCTCTGACCATTCCCCCTGCATTGCGGCATTGAAGAGGGTCGAGACCGATGGGGATTTTATGAGTGCTTGGGGCGGAATTAGCACCCTCGGGCTTGGCCTATGTCTTCTCTGGACTGAAGGACGTGCGAGGGGTGTGAATATTGGTCAAATAGTGAGATGGATGAGTGAAAGAACAGCCTTGCATGCGGGGTTGCATGGATCCAAGGGTGCAATTCGCGAGGGACTGGACGCTGATTTGGTAGTGTTTGATCTGGAGAAGAAATTCATCGTGGGTCAATTCCCACTTGTGCTTGTCGTAAAACTCACGATCACCATAGGTTTCCGCCAACGAATTAAAATTCAAGAATAAAATCACGCCGTATGAGGGGCAACATCTCTTGGGAAGTGTTCGTCAGTGTTTCCTGCGTGGTCGCCTTGCCTATGACGCGGACCGGCCGGGTGGTTTGCAGGGCTTAGAGCCCCAAGGGCTATTTTTGTAAGCACAACAAATAGAAGCAGACTCCTTACCCTCATGCTTCATTGCCCTGAGCACACATTCCGGCGCTTTTGCGGGGCTTCCCAAGTAGTTGGGCCCCGAGACTGCCTAATTTAGTTTTCTCCCGTGGATCCCTCCCTTCCGAATTCCTGGCTGAAATCCACCGAAAATCGTAAATCGCTGCAAAAATTCATTCGGAGTTTAGTTGTCCATTGACGAAGCGTTCAATCAGAGGCATCCGGCCGGAAGTCAATGAATAAGGGGAAAGGAGGATGGTGACCAATTGACAATGGCCAGTACTATGAAGGAGTTGCGGTACGGAGTCGAATTTTCGGCTCTACTACACTCTTGCATCAATACTGCCTACATCTGCTAAGGGCGCCTGGAGGACGAAGATTCTACAGAAAAATATGTGCTGCCTTTTTCTCCATGTCTTCATCTCGTTCATCCGGATCAGTGGGTGTTCTACGCACAAGAGAGTCTAGACAGTGGCTAATGACTGGGACCCAATGCCTGCTGAAGAATCGGTGCGGAGCACTTAGATTCACACGCCGGAGAAACTTTATAGTGTAGCGTTTGATCAGAGCCCTAAGTAACCGCTTGAGAGGACTTCGTACCAGCAGGGGTGATTAAGCAATGACCATTAGCACTCGCCGATCCCCCAATTCCAACACTACCTACTAGCGGCTCTTGGGGCCTAGATTCACTGCGATGACCGATACTGACATGGATCCACGAAAAAAATCCCCGTCCCCCCACGCGACATTAATTTATGCTCACTGCTTGCCCTTTTGACCTCCTATTATGCATTGTTTGTCTGTTGTATGGCCACTCCATCCATTCCCCTATCTCTTCACTCCCCCTGTAGTGTGGCTCTTTTGGTGCGGGCGGCCTCTTAAAAGAGTTTCATCGTAGGGCAATAGGATATTAATTTACAAGCTGGGAAATTTAGAGTTTGCTAATAGCATTATGGTTACGGGCGGGTATTGCCATCATTTAACGGTAGCGGCAGCAAGCGCCAGTCCCCGACTCTGAAGCCGTTGGGATATGTCGGGTAAATTGATAGGATGAACCTGAACTTCAGCGGCAGTCAAACTGCCCCTCACACGATCACTCCTGACCTCGCGGACTCTTGCGGGCAGTCCAAACGTGGGTAGAGCCAAGGATACAGTCAAACGCGGAGGGGGCCGTGGATGAATCTTAAGAGCTGAACGAGCACTGCCATGGAAGCACCGCCATGGACGGAAGCACAGCCATGGTCATTTTATTAATCTCGTGACCGCGAAATTCCCTCTA